TTAAAATGCAAATCAATTGAAAACAATTTTAACATGCGTTTTTCTGGATTTTTTTGTTGTTATTCTGTCTCTCACTGTTCAAATAAACCTACCATTAAAATTATAGACAGATCATTTCTTTGTCAGTGGGCAAACGTATAAAATCAGCAGGGGATCAAATACCTTTTTCCCTCACTGTATTGCAATCCTTCAGCCATTCCTGGACCTGTGTCCAGAAACAAATGATCTAATGATTCTGTCTCTTCACAGCCAAATCTGCAGAGCTAGGAAGATTGTATCCCCCATACAAATAACATTCTATTGGTAGCAAGAATTGTATATAATAATTTAAATTGAAAATGTATAAGTTTTGAATACGTCGTCGTTTTGCATATCAGTTCTTAAACACTATGCCATGGAATCGGTACGTCAAAAATCTCTTCCCAACTATTTTGCAATCTATATGGGACGGCTGTCAATCCTTTGGTCCTTAAATGAAACTTTAGGTTGTTCTTTATCCAAAGTCCATCCAGTTCTAACTAGTTTATCACATCTGTGATGTCTATTTTTGGAATGTCAAAGGGGTATTTATAAGAATATGTTCAAATCTCTGAACTCATTCCTAAAAAGCATAACATTGAGCATGGCTTTCTAACATTAGAAATGAAATTGAGCTAACAAGTGATGACCGTGTCGACCAAGTAAAGCCATTCCCATGGTCCTGGGAAGGGAAACTTTCACAGACCAAGAATGTACTACCGGGGGACTTCCCCATTCAACAGTAGTCTTACTTCTTCTGATCTTAATTTTTATCTGTGAGTCAGTGCCTCAGTGCCCCCCCTCCCCCCTCACTCTGTTTCTGTGTGTCTCTCTTTCTCTCTCTTTCTCTCTCTCTCTCTCTCTCTCTCTCTCTCTCTCTCTCTCTCTCTCTCTTTCTCTCATCTCTCTCTCTCTCTCTCTCTCTCTTTCTCTCTCTCTCTCTCTCTCTCTCTCTCTCTCTCTCTCTCTCTCTCTCTCTCTCTCTCTCTCTCTCTCGCTCTCCCTCTGCATATTTATGGCTCTTTCTGACCCCTGTGGGCTGCTGTGGTATGCAGGGTCTTAGCCTGGGTTATGACCAGTCTGCTCGCCCGTGATTTCTTCTGTTTGGAGTTTGTGTTTTCCCATAGAAGCTTCTGGTCCGCTGATTACTCCCTGCTCACTGTCACACTCTCTCCCAGTCTGTGAATATAACAGTACTCTCCTCCAGTTACACTGGCAGGCTGCTAAAGTCAACAGAGGATCAGATGGTCGCAATACAAAGCTACCCGAAAACTAACCACAAAGTCCTAAATGAACGAATTACTGGACAGATTACTAAAAATCCAGTCACACATCTCAGAGATAGAGACAGACACTTAAAGGTCGAAAGAGGAAAGTCAAATAAAGTATTTGGGGTTTCACTGATTTCCTTTCACATTATGTTGACAATGTTAAATTCTTATTAGTGAGTTATAGAAAATAGTTCAATTTTATTTGATTGCAGACAGTAGACAGTAAAATATGAATAAATTACCATTAATTCCATTATCTTTTCACTGCATGGAGAAATAAAGAGTTCACAAGCTCATCACAACACCTAGTTGTTAAACAGCCATTTAACACAGACCAGGTGATGCCACCCATGACCAGATCACTTCCTGTGTTAAAAGGGTGACCCTCTTTTTTTCAGCCCACACTGCAATCAGGTCTGCCGATCATGTAGAAGGATGTAAGGGCGGGTCAGCCGGTCACATTCTCTATAGCATAGAAATGACCTGGCAGGCGGGAAAATCAATTGTAGAAAATGAGTCCTTGGCGGGTCCCCTCGCCTTGTAGGAAGTGCATTAAGGGGTTTTCTTACTTTACCCTGGGACCCATCCTGGTGGCTTCTGTTGTTCTCCAATCTGGGATGCATTTCAATATTGTTTGTTTATTTTACCAAGGGCCTCTGACGATACCGTTTCCAGTTTGGCCCTAGAGCATGAGGTTGTAGATTGTGGGAAATGTTTGATGTGAGGAAAAAATGCTCCTGTCGGTCATCGGCTGTTTGTCTTTGTTGACTATATGGTAAATATAGGGACACACAGCTCCATACTACTGTTAACCCTCTGACTGGGTTGGAAAATGTATGGAAAATAAAACATATTTGTCTTGGTTAAGATGAAAATCTATAACCTCCTTAGAGCGAATGCCCATTTGGAGCTGAAGTAAGTAGCCCTGTGTCTTGGGGTTGTGATTGAGTGTCACATTTTTCCATAATGGAATAAATCTCCAGATGTGAGCTTGCTGGAGGGGTGTACCTACTGTGTAAAGTCGAAGCAATAATTTAAGAGATTAATTTGTAAGTATACTGAGGCCATCGTAAAACTTCGGACTCCAAAGGCCCAATTGAGATTTTTTTGTTCACTTCAATGATGGGAAGTTTATTGCTTAGTTATTTGTGGATCAAAGGCATGGAAAATTGCATGACATGTAGGCCTAATCCTCATCTGAGATAGTTTGGTGGTTGCTTTAGGACCAAACTAGGCAGAGTGTGCTTTAGGACCATGCGGACGTCTCTGAGCGGTCGGGTAGGCTGTTTGGAGCGTTTATCAGACTGGAGAATTAAAAAAAAGTATAATAATTTCCCCCCCACTTCTAAAACCAAAGTTGCGCCCCTGCCTATAGGTGCACGTGCACGCCAGTGACATTATGATTTGTCCCAAAAAATCGGAGGCAAAAACCAGCGCGCACCGGTAGAGTTGTTCATCATAAGCCTCACATCCCACAGCCTCTCGACAGACATAACAATTGAATGTTACGGATGGTACTGCAAAGGACGCATTTAGTCCAGCAGTAAAACAAACAGGGGAAGCTGAGTCCTGTCTCCAGACAAACTGTTACCATAAAAGGCATAGACTACAAAGAAACACACCTGACTCTTAATAGGCTAAATAAGTAAGTGAACTCCTGCAACTGCTCTTCCTCCATACTGTGCCATTAAATGCTTGAACAAATGGTGTCTTTGTTGGTTCCAACAATTGAATCTGTTTCCTATGATCATATCGCTGTTCCTTTTTGGCATCTGCTCTCCTTCCACACTTCCCATACCCTCAGCTTGAGAGGATGATCAACAGGCAAGGAAGGAAACTTGGTTGAAGTTATTGTTCTGAAACACAGAGCTTTTATTGTCGTCCTATATGAGGTGATGTAATGGGAAGCTCAACACACAGAGTGGGAAGGGAATTTGAGTCACCCTTATAGCATGCATGACACACGGATGGTTGTAGTGTGCCCGACCAACGTGTTTGGCAGGTAGTTATACTAGCTAGTAGAGCTGTGGTCCTCTGTAGCTCAGCTGGTAGAGCACGGCGCTTGTAACGCCAAGGTAGTGGGTTTGATCCCCGGGACCACCCATACACAAAAATGTATGCACGCGTGACTGTAAGTCGCTTTGGATAAAAGCGTCTGCCAAAATGGCATTTTTATTTATAGTGTATGATTAAATCTCAGTAAAAATGAAAAAAACTAAGCTAAAGATATGTTGCCTAGTCAAAGACATAGCCCTCTAAATGTACTTTAATTTAATACATGAAATATAAAGTTCTGGTGATAATTTGATGTCACAGTAAATTAAATTAAATGTATTGAATGTAGTTTCATCAAAGATTTTTTCCATATAAATTGACTTCAATTCTGGTCAAAATGGCGGGAAAAAGGGAGAAGGTTTGTTAAAGAAGAGTGGTAGGAAATGTAAGCAAAGTGAGCTGAAGACAGGAGGAGAAATGGAAGTGAATGAGGGTGAAGTATCTCAGGTGGTAGGTGTGGTGAAGTGCTCGGAGCCAGAGGCTTGCGCAGAGGGTGAGGATAAAGATGAGTCTGTGACTGTAGGAGTGAAGTTCGTGGGAAAATAGTAGGAGATATGTACCAGTACAGTGGGATAGGCAAGCAAGTGATATATGTTTCAGTAAGATTGGATTTTTAGCATTTATAGCAATGGTTATTAATTGTACTGCAGGGATGGAACGTAAGTCGAAGAAAATTGAGGTTGTGGTGGCAGCTGCAGAGAGATATTTGGGTGTGCGAGACTTGACAGCAGAAAAGTTACAGGGAGTGTTAAGTGGTGATGTCCCATAATTTCAGGTTGAGGGCATGAGGTAGGAGTGAATGTATTTAAATAGTGGAGAAGGGTGGGGTTAATTATTAGTAATAGTTTTGAATTTGTGAATGTAGTGTTAGATGGTAGGGTATTTTTTTGCTTTGTTTTATTTTTCAAGGAAAATAAAAGGGAGTTGTACTCCAGTCTAATAGGTGGCGGTAATGCAACAAATTGGATGCCAACCGCCGTTAAACCTCATTGAAGAAGAAGAACGAATTTTGATTCAGAGTAACATACGTACCCTCGCGGGCGTGATTAATTGGAGGAGAGGATCATGTGACCAAACCGAAACTATTATGGCGGCCACCATGTAAGTAACAGCCCGTGTCTGTTTTGTTACTTTTCTTTCGTCAATTTCCTTTATCTTGCATTGGATTATGGTGGATTTTGCACAAGGAGATACGTTATTGAAGACGGGGCATGAGGAGATGGAACATTTTGTGAGCGCAAGACGGGAATTTATTTAGGAAGAAAAGTTTGTTAGCTAGTCGGCTAACCGAAGAGCTAACTAGTTACTATAGCCAACCCAAGTTTGAAAGTAAACATCCGCTGATTACAGTGCGTGTATGTTCGCCCTTTAGCCGATACAAACGCGGTTGCACCGCTGTTTATTTCAAAATGCAAGTGGAATGTGCCCGACCAACGTGTTTGGCAGGTAGTTATGCTTGCTAGTAGAGCTGGCTTTGTTATGCTAGCTTGCTAACTAGTTTAGCTAGCTGGCTAATTGAACGGAACGAGAAGTGAACGCATCCGAGGTAGCTGACGTTATCTAGTTAGCTATGTAACCTTTGCTGGCCAGACAAAAAAACGGACAATTCAAGTGAATTGATCAAGACAGTGAACCAACTCGAGTAAGAACGTTATCATGGGTCTGGTGAACCTTGTCTTTTGCACCATTGGGAAATGTTTCGATTTCATATCCTTCCTGCTGGACCTAAATTTCTTAATAGTCCATTCAGTGATACGGCTCCTGGCAGCATGTATCACCTTTGTGAGTAACCTACCCATGCTACTGACCAACTCAATGGTGAAGTGCTGGAACTTCACTGTGTTCTGCATGGTCTCCATGATGGACAGCGTATCACTTCTGGCCCAGGGCACAGTCAACATGTTAGGGCGCTGGTTGCACCTCTTGGGAGGTGTTCTGGAGAGTTTCAAAATGGTGGGCTACTTGTCCTCACATGTTCTCCTGCGTGTCAGGGATCTGTTCCACCGTGGGTTGCTGTGTGGCCACTACTTGCTGCAGCAGGTGTGGGAGGGCTGTGGCATTACGGTCAGCCTGGTGCTCTACCTGGTCAACACGGTGGTCAACCTGCTGCTCATCGGGACACAGAGCGTCTACTCTGTTGTAGTCAGCATGTGGGAGGCGGTCTCCTGCCCCCTGCAGAAGGCTGTGGAGCTCACCCTCACACTCTTCACCTTCCTGTACAGCAGCCTGGTCGGCACCTCAGTCGTTCTCTGGACTCCTGTCAGGCTGGCCCTGGAGTTCCTAGGTTTGCTCGGACACATTTTCGTCAGCGTCTTCCTCATGAACATCTATGGCCTCATTCTCACAACTGCCATTGTTGTCACAGCCACAATCTACATGAACCCTGAGCTGACCCGTCTTGGAGCCCGCCGCGCCGTCGGTTACTTCAACTCTGTCCCCACCCTGCAGGTCCTACAGAGGGCGCTCCATCGCCTATACATGCTGGGGAGGGGCGTGTGGCAGAGGCTTCAGCGGCAGGTCAGCCGCCTACACCAAATGATAACACCAGTCTACAGGAACATCAGAGTGAGGGGTGACGGCCACGCCAGGCAACCTGAACCCAGTGACAGAGAGCAGAGGGCTCTTCCGGACGGTAGGGCAGGAGACGCAGCACCACACGCTGAACGCGCTGCTCGGCCTCGCCAGCTAATGGACGACCTGTGGGACCTAGCGTTCCCCAGCTCCAGCAGCACATACAGGCCTTTACAGAAACAGAAACTCTCCTCAGTGGAGGGGGGCTCCAGCTCCAAGGGTGCCCCGACCGACAGCTTACTGACTCTGCTCCAGGAGCAGGAGGAGAGGAAGAAGTGCATCATCTGCCAGGACAGCACCAAGACAGTGGTGCTGCTGCCTTGCCGCCACCTGTGTCTGTGTCGGGACTGTACCGACATACTGCTGCGCCAGCCCATCTACCAGCAGAACTGTCCGCTCTGCCGCCATATGATCCTTAATACCATGGATGTGTATCTCTGAGGGGACCTAACGAGGGAGGGGCGTGTTGCCCACAGCGCTGCATTATTAACATGTTGAATCTCAGGTTTAGGATGTGCAGAGACTATAGGCTATGTCTACACCTGCAGTACATTGCAGCTCAGACACACGGCTATCCAAGTCCAGCGCACTGTGCTTAAATTGCTTGCCGCTCATGGCTGATGTCTTAAATTATGCCTGTGTTTTGTTCAGACAACCATGACAGTACTTGCCTACTTTTTTTTTTTTATACTTGTTTGTTCATATTACTGAACACTTCATGTTGTTCCAAACTGTATGTGGTGTGTGAACCTAATAAGGAATGTTTGCTGTGTAGCAGTTAATTTCCTTTATTCAGCTTAGGTTCCGTTTGAAAGCATTCCCAATGGAAGTTTAAAACACAGGAGTGAAAACCGTACCAAATGTTGTCGTAAAAACACATTTCGTAGCCTATGCATAGGTTTAAATGGTGACAACCTCTCAAATGCAATTTGTCAATTGCCAATATTGTTCCAAGCAGTTCACATCCAGAGACTCATAAAAAGTGTGAATTTGTTGTGTATTGTGGGAAAGGAGGTTAATTTCATAAGCTATGGTTGTCTAAAACTACCAGTGTCAGAGAAATTATTTACCATATCTATCTATCTGTCTTGTCATGTTAGAAACGTTTGTTTTGTTCTAATGAGTATTCCATCACTTGGATCACTGTAGCCAGTTCTTTCCACTATGCTGACATATGAACACTACCTAATTTATGCACCACACAAGGTTTATTCTCCTTTTATCTTGTTATCAAACATTGACTTGTTGTTCAAAATGACCACCATTAGTCAGTAATGGCTAAATAATTATTTGTTTCTATTTTGTCTCTTTGCTCAAAATAAGTATTGATCAAAGCTCTGTGAAACGCCATGTTGAATGTTTACAGCACAAACTGCAATGGTTATTGAATTAGATTGCAAGTGTTGGAGAAAGGTTAAGTGACAATAAAAGCAAAAGGCTGGTGAGTCATATTTGATATGCCTTTTTTTGGGCCAAGGTTTCATAAATACATGTTGAATAGGCTCTGCCCGTAATATATTCTTGGGTCAGACACGATGGAGTGACTTCAATATTGTGACAGAGGAGCTAGAACGTGAACCACAGTGTCACTGATGTCCTTCTATAATTGTCTAAGTCTCATTGACATTTTGTAGCCAATAATAATTTCCCACTGTCTTTGTTCCAATCAGAAGTCTTAACATTTGTCTGTTATTTCAAGAGATGCTGGAATCACTCATTCATTAATGTGCCCTTCATTGCTTTTATCTAGTGCCAAACCAACCATTTTCAAAAGGCCTATCATTTTCTTAACACCCATGTAAAAAAAAAAAAAGTAATGAAACCAACAGTTGTCTATGATGTGACATATTGATAAAAATCTGGGAGGGAAAAGGTTGGGCCCATGAATTGGTTGGGCCCATAAATTGTCTATGATATACAAATGTATGAAAAAAGATTGGGCATATTATATTTTAGAGTAAATCCTAGGTTATATTCTGAGTTTACCTCTTTTCCTGTCAGGTTCCCCAAAGCCCTTTATTCATTCCGTGACATTCCTGTCTACAGATACAGTGGACTCTTATCACAGACCACACGTGTTGCCATTCACACAGCTTATTTTGTCTAGGGAGACTGACCTGTGTATCCGGGGGACATGGCACAAAGTGATGGACATTGCAATAAGCCATGAATGGGGTAGCATGTAGCCTAGCAGTTAAGACTGTTGGGCCAGTAACTGAAAGGTCGCTGGTTCGAATCCCCGAGCCGACTAGGTGAAACATCTGTCTGTGCCCTTGAGCAAGGCACTTAACCCTAATTGCACCTGTAAGTCTCTCTGGATAAGAGCATCTGCTAAATGACTTAAATGTACACATTTATTTGGTTGTATAAAGGTAATGGATGTGGCCATACTCACTAATGAGAATGACAAATGTCTGTGAGACAATAAACGAACAATCTTTTGGTACTTTTTTTCTGTCTTTTTCTGTTGTGAAAAACGTTTATTTGATGTATTTTCACTATTTACTTCGCATCCCTGTTCAGAGCAGTCAATATACTGTTTTTTTTGTTACAGATTGGGTTTACCAGCTTGTGTGAATAAACCTAGGCCCTGATACAATCCACCAGAAAGAGAACAGCACCACAGCCAGTTCTGTTTCACAGGATGCTTTGCTCACCATACTAGACCATATCAACACTAGATGCATCAGCATCTTTGAGATAATCAAGGCTATTATTTCCTTGTTGATAAACCAATGTTGAATATATAATTGATTCCGGTCCTCTTGACCAATGAATCCCCAAATAAGTGTTTCGCATTACATGCACCAGACATTGGTAATGTTTTGAGTCAAATTCTGGAATGATAGGGCAATGTTTCCAACATACATGTCTTACCATTGCTATGCCACCATTGCTTGGTATGTTGTCTAAGAGCTGTAGCAGCTGCTACAGAGGCAGTGTTAGCCTGTGCTGTAGTATTTCCAGAGTTTTTGTAGAATTAAGATAGACATTATTACAATAGACAAAGCCGAGGTGGTTTGCAAAGCATCTCCCTTCCACCTCCCAGCTCTGTTTTTATATAGTCATTTCACATACATTTTAGCTTAACCCCTCCCTCTTGGGTTCCCCCACCACTGTCTCCAGTTTCCACCTCTCGACCGCTCCACCCACTTCCTTAGTTTATGATATTGGCGAAATCTGACTTATCCTCCTATGTATTCAGTTTGGAAACAGTGGTAGTGCAATCAATCAAGCCCTGTCATGCACAAATAATCATGTTCAGTTTGAACTCTGTTCAACCCCAGCTCACCCTGGCTTGACCTGGAGATTGACTGTTGGACATGGCAGGTCCACAATCAATCTCTCAAACATACCCAAGCCCAACCCCTCTCTCCCCTCCCGTCATGCTGTAATTAATCAAGAAGACACCCAAGGAGAGACAAAGGGTTTAGCCTGAACTCTGTTCAACCCTGACTCCATTCCCATAATATGCCTTAGGGTAGAGGCAAAGGATAACACTCTGGTTTCAGTCACTGATAAATCAGGACAGCCTTGGATTAGGTACAGTGTGGGGAAAAAAGTATTTGATCCCCTGCTGATTTTGTAAGTTTGACAACTGACAAAGAAATGATCAGTCTATAAGTTTAATGGTAGGTTTATTTGAACAGTGAGAGACAGAAAAACAACAACATCCAGAAAAACACATGTCAAAAATGTTATAAATTGATTTGCATTTTAATGAGGGAAATAAGTATTTGACCCCCTCTCAATCAGAAAGATTTCTGGCTCCCAGGTGTCTTTTATACAGGTAACGAGCTGAGATTAGGAGCACACTCTTAAAGGGAGTGCTCCTAATCTCAGTTTGTTACCTGTCTAAAAGACACCTGTCCATAGAAGCAATCAATCAATCAGATTCCAAACTCTCCCCCATGGCCAAGACCAAAGAACTCTCCGAGGATGTCAGGGACATGATTGTAGACCTATACAAGGCTGGAATGGGCTACTAGACCATCGCCAAGCAGCTTGGTGAGAAGGTGACGACAGTTGGTGCGATTTATTCGCAAATGGAAGAAACACAAAAGAACTGTCAATCTCCCTCGTCCTGGGGCTCCATGCAAGATCTCACCTCGTGGAGTTGCAATGATCATGGGAACGGTGAGGAATCAGCCCAGAACTACACGGGAGGATCTTGTCAATGATCTCAAGGCAGCTGGGACCATAGTCACCAAGAAAACAATTGGTAACACACTACGCCGTGAAGGACTGAAATCCTGCAGCGCCCGCAAGGTCCCCCTGCTCAAGAAAGCACATATACAGGTCCGTCTGAAGTTTGCCAATGAAAATCTGAATGATTCAGAGGAGAACTGGGTGAAAGTGTTGTGGTCAGATGAGACCAAAATCGAGCTCTTTGGCATCAACTCAACTTGCCGTGTTTGGAGGAGGAGGAATGCTGCCTATGACCCCAAGAACACCATCCCCACCGTCAAACATGGAGGTGGAAACATTATGCTTTGGGGGTGTTTTTCTGCAAAGGGGACAGGACAACTTCACCGCATCAAAGGGACGATGGACGGGGCCATGTACCGTCAAATCTTGCGTGAGAACCTCCTTCCCTCAGCCAGGGCATTGAAAATGGGTCGTGGATGGATATTCCAGCATGACAATGACCCAAAACAAACGGCCAAGGCAACAAAGGAGTGGCTCAAGAAGAAGCACATTAAGGTCCTGGAGTGGCCTAGCCAGTCTCCAGACCTTAATCCCATAGAAAATCTGTGGAGGGAGCTGAAGGTTCGAGTTGCCAAACGTCAGCCTCGAAACCTTAATGACTTGGAGAAGATCTGCAAAGAGGAGTGGGACAAAATCCCTCCTGAGATGTGTGCAAACCTGGTGGCTAACTACAAGAAACGTCTGACCTCTTTGATTGCAAAACAAGGGTTTTGCCACCAAGTACTAAGTCATGTTTTGCAGAGGGGTCAAATACTTATTTCCCTCATTAAAATGCTAATCAATTTATAACGTTTTTGACATGCGTTTTTCTGGATTTTGTTGTTGTTATTCTGATTGTCACTGTTCAAATAAACCTACCATTAAAAGTATAGACTGATCATGTCTTTGTCAGTGGGCAAACGTACAAACTCAGCAGGGGATCAAATACTTTTTTCCCCCACTGTAAGAGCAAGGAATTCGACCCGAGGTCAGATCCCCATTTCACACACACACACAAACCCAGTGAGAGGAACCAATTAAGTTCTTGCCTAGCAACAGAGATGTACCCATGTTTAACCCTGGCTCTGTGTTCGTCATGTTGTGATTAACTTGTTTATCTTATAGTTTACTGAAGAATCCTCATCACATTGTGGCAATGTGCCCTTTAACTGTTCAAGTTCCTCACGCTGTTCATGCTCTTATCTCACAGGCACGGACCGCCCATCTCACTCCAGCATGGCTCCTGCATTGTC